CCTTCGTCGATATAAAAAATAGCTTCTTTTTGAGAGTTTTCGGATGATGGATATCTGGTCACCGGATTCAAGAAAAGTGCAATCGAAGAAAAATTTAGTGTTCCACAGTGAGTGCAGTAGAATTAAATTTACCGGCAGTGAACCCATGGAAATTCATAAGAATTGAATGACATTTCAACTTCTGGAAAGTTAGGTTGTTTTGAAAGTTTTGTCCGTTAAAATATCATTTTGTTTCTAGTGGTATACAGGGTGTAACATAAGTAAGATGAAGTATTCAAGTGACGTATTCCTGAGACAATTTTGAGAAAAAAGTCTATATTAACTTGTGCCCGAAAATGCTTCGTTTCGGAGATACGGGGTGTTGAAATTGAATTTTTTCTTCGCTTTTTGAGAATAACTCTTGCAAAAAATAAGTTTGTTTGAAGGTGATTGACAATGTTTCGTGATGAATTTCACTAGTTCGAACTTCCATTGTCTACTATATAAAATGATTTGAAATCCCTGAAACAAGTAAAAAAGAATAATTAAAAAAGGATAGCTGAAAATAACAATTATATTAAGCAACAATAAACCTGAAATGAAATGATAGTGAAATAACCTACAAGTAAAAATATAATAATTGAATAAATAAAAATTAAAGGAATGAAAAAAGAAAATAATAAAAAAGTGTAGAGATTCCAAGTCACGTTAGTTCACGACGTTTCGATTGTTGGTATCTACAATCGTCTTCGGGTGATGACTGGACTGATTCCTCCGAGAGATGACTATTTATAGGTCGTTGAAATACTTTCACTTTCTCTGCTTTCCATTTTCCGCTTCACTGAAAGATCATGGCTAACACCGCACCACAGTAAGCCCCCTCACTTGTATGGTCTACCCAAAATCCACCAGAAGGACGTTCCGCTTAGACCGATCATCAGCTCCAGAGATTCGGCTACTCAAAACTTGTCTAGATTTTTAGTTCCCTTAATACAAACATTACAAGGAAAAACATCGTCTTTTGTGAAGAATTCAAGGCATTTTGTCGAACCACTAGGGTCAATTGAGGTTACACAGGAAGATCAACTAATTAGTTTCGACGTGGAAAGCCTTTACACCAACGTTCCGGTCGAAGAAGCACTCCAAATCATACAGAGAAAGCTATCCGAAGACGGGAACCTGAAAGAGAGAACGAATCTACCTATAGAAGTAATTATGGAATTACTAGGATGCTGTGTACGAAACTGTTATTTCCAACTGAAGCACGAATTCTTTACACAAGATGAGGGACTGCCAATGGGATCACCACTTTCACCAGTCATAGCCAACATATATATGGAGTGGTTTGAAACTCTGGCCATTGAAGAAGCCCACAAGAAACCTCGAGTCTGGTTGAGATATGTTGACGACACCTTCATAATATGGAACAATGGGAATACTGAACTAGACACCTTCCTGAAACACTTCAACAGCGTGAGACCATCCATCACTTTCACAATGGAGAAGGAAATCCACAACGAATTGCCATTCTTAGACGTTTTGGTGAAGAGGACCGACACTAAGTGGGAAACATCTGTATACCGAAAACCCACTCATACGGGACAGTATCTGAACCACGAATCCAACCACCATCAATCGACAAAAAGAGGAATCATCAAGACTCTATTAGACCGTGCTTTTGGGCTCTGTAATACAAAGGAAGGTCTCAAGAAGGAACTAGACATCATCAAAAATGATCTTCAGCGGAATGGATACTCCAAAGCGATGGTAGAAAAAACTTTGGCTAAAAGACAGCAGGAGCCTCGCAAGGAAGAGAAGCCGTCACAACCAGTGCTTGCACTTCCCTGCATCAGAGGATTATCGGAGAGGATAAGAAGAATTGGTTCCAAGTACAACATCAGAACCTGTTTCAGATCCGGTAACACTATCCGTAGCAGCCTCACGAAAACCAGGCCCCCAAACGCGGACTGCGATTCCAAGAATTGCATTTACCGGATGCCCTGTGAGTGCGGAAAATCCTATATTGGTGAAACTAAGAGGCCATTGAATGTTCGCATTGCCGAGCACAAGAAGCACACACACCGAGGAGAAACCAGCAAATCAGGAATAGCAGACCATGTTTGGACCCATCAACACAACATCGAGTGGTCCCAAGCTGAGATTTTGCACAGAGAGGAACATTGGTTTAGGAGAAAATTTAAGGAAGCTGCATACATGTTGTCCAAAAAAGTATTCAGCCAGGCCAGCGTAGAAATACGAAACATATGGAAACCCATCATCAAACGAAAAATGGCCAACTCCCGCCAAAACGATCATCTCTCACGGAATCAGTGAAGCGGAAAATGGAAAGCAGAGAAAGTGAAAGTATTTCAACGACCTATAAATAGTCATCTCTCGGAGAAATCAGTCCAGTCATCACCCGAAGATGATTGTAGATACCAACAATCGAAACGTCGTGAACTAACGTGACTTGGAATCTCTACACTTTTTTATTATTTTCTTTTTTCATTCCTTTAATTTTTATTTATTCAATTATTATATTTTTACTCGTAGGTTATTTCACTATCATTTCATTTCAGGTTTATTGTTGCTTAATATAATTGTTATTTTCAGCTATCCTTTTTTAATTATTCATTTTTACTTGTTTCAGGGATTTCAAATCATTTTATATAGTAGACAATGGAAGTCCGAACTAGTGAAAAAAAATAAGTTATTTGCACGAAATTCGGTACCCGGGGTTTTTTTGACTTGGGAAATTATTTCGTATTAATTTCGTATTAATTCCCATGTAACATCTAGAAGGCGCTGCGTACGCTGTCATTATTTATTTCAAATTGCCCTAACTTTTTTGACAGTAAACTTTTTTTGATACTTTCCATGAAAAAACTTAATTCCCACCCCTTTTCTAAGTAAAAAAGATACATCTCCTCAACTACGCTGGAGGTGATCGATTTCGAGATATTTACAATTGTCTATATCGATGCATATTACTTTATAGCCAAATTTGATTTCAATAATTTTTGTCACTCTCCGCTTGCAAATTAAGTTAATTAAAATGAGTAGGCTATGAAAGTTTGTTTATAAAAATAGAAGTTCGCTGTCACATTTGTAACTATTAATTGAAAAATTCACAGTTCTGAGTTTATGATACCATGCCCGACTTAACGAATGTTGAAATGGCTGATATGGTTTTTGCATACGGCTTGGCTGAGGGAAATTCAAGCAAGGCCAGACGCATCTATCAGGAAAGGTATCCTCAACGCGTGACTCCTCGTGCAGCGACATTTGCGAATCTTTTCCGGCGACTTTCCGAATCTGGAAGCTTTGAAACAAATTCACTTTTTGTGAATCAAAACGCAATCAATTACGATATATCGGGCCAATGTTCGAAGCGACCGGTTTCGAAAATCTACAGACGCGAGCAAGAAGTATACTGGGCTTTTCATGATGAGCATTAATTAGCCGTTTCTGACAAACTATTTAACGGATCAACCTGAAAATTTCACAGTATGCATAAGCGGCGAAGCGGCGTTGTCACTTCTACTATAAAGTAGCGGCTTCTTTGATTTTTCAAATGGAACACCCCGTATATAATATCATATTATGATTCATTATCACTTTGTCAACAAATTCATATATTATTTTCGTATACCTATCTATTACCGTTTAGAAGATATAAATTAATTTCAATATTTTTTTACCAAACATGAACTTTTATAAATGCTGATAATATTGAACTCTCTCTCACTGAAACGATCAAATTTGAAATGGAGTGGAGTGATACTATGAGAATCTTCACTCCGAGTCATATTTTCATTTGCCTCATATAGGGTCTTCAAAAAATGCAGATACTTTGATGTCATGAAAAAATGAGTGAAACTCAATTTTTTCAACTGGAACACTCTATAACATTTTTGAGCTCTTCATCCAATTTTAGATTAACTTTGTTCAGATAATACTATTTCTATTTTGAACCGTTTTCGAGATACATTTTTTGAAGACCCTGTATGAGGCAAATGAAAATATGACTCGGAGTGAAGATCCTCGTAGTATCACTCCACTCCATTTCAAATTTGATCATTTCAGTGCAAGAGAGTTCAAGATTATCAGCATTTATAAAAGTTCATGTTTGGTCAAAAAAAATATCGAAATTAATTTATATCTTCTAAACGGTAATAGATAGCTATAGGGAAATAGTATATGAATTTGTTGACGAAGTGATAATGAATCATAATATGATATTATATATGGGGTGTTCCATTTGAAAAATCAAAGAAGCCGCTACTTTATAGTAGAAGCGACAACGCCACTTCGTCTGAAATATGACGTGTAGGTCATATTGATTTATGCATACTGTGGAATTTTCAGGATGATCCGTTGAATAGTTTGCCAGAAACGGCTAATTAACGCTCATCATGATAAGCCCTGTACATATATATGCCGTTTTTTTATAATCATTTAATTATAATACATCCTAATTTTTTTATGTTTCTCATGAAATTATAAAATGCGAACGTGAATCCAATGAAAATATAATAAAGTGCCTAGAATGGACGTTCTACGGACATATATTTCTGGACGTCCCGACGATTTACTGAACTGGACATACTTAAAACGTCCAGACTTGGTCCTAGACATTCAGACGATAGATGGACATGTAATGGACGTCTTTAAAACGTCCTGTGCTATCTGGAAAATACATAGAAAACAGTTGAAAACATCCAGACAAACTTTTTCGTTGCTGACTTCTCTAATAGCCAACACCGAAAAATTGATTTCTACATAAAATTCATCCAATGTTCAGTGCTGTTATGGAAAAACAAACATGTAAAAGGAAATATAGATGTTTCCAGCTGTCACAGATAAGCCTTCGCATGACCTGCACGTAGTTTTCCAACCGCCACCCATATTTGTATTCTGCACAGATTGGAAGAAGGAAAACTTCCCAGAACATAAACTTATCTAATAAAATTCCGCGATGAGAAACACACGCCAGCACAACGAAACCCTTTTCATCTTACCTATCATCGCGAACAAGTCTGACGTGTAGCTGGATTCCTGCAGAGAGCTGGCTGTTTCCGATTTTCCTTTCTTTTTCCTGTTGAGCACGTAACTCGCTGCCAGGCCAAAATAAGCGCCGAACGCGTGAACAAATATTGAACCGCCTGCATCTGCTACCTACAACATAACGACCAGATTGGGACTCTTTCAATTACTGCGAATAATTTATTACTGTTGCAAGTCTTGGCAGAGGGCAGTGAAGGAGAACTTGCAAGTTTTCAAAGATTGAAACGCAGCACTTCTTTTACAGAGTTTGTCACATCGAGCTTCCGTCGGAAGTTTGGGATGGAAAAAATTAGTAAAAGTAAAGTTCGACTGAAAGTTTTATGATAATAAAGAACTCAATATCGAATATAGGAAAAAGAAAATAACTTTTGTTAAAGTTTAGATGTTCCCAAAAGAAAAAATCGACGGGATTGAGGTCCGGTGAACTCGGGGGCCAATGGTCAGTGCCTCCTTTTCCTATCCATCGTTGGGGATATGCTACGTCTAAAAAATTTTTTCATAAGTTGGGGAAACTCGTGTTTCAAAAATGTAGGTGAGCATCTCCATTCAAACGTAAGGGGAGGAAATAGGGCCCAATTGAATAATCCCCAATTATGCCTACCCATACATCAAAAGAGGATATGTCTTGGAAAAATTGAAATCAGTTCAATCATTGATTTATCCTCTTTTTGAGTATTGCTACCCGGTGTATTACAACTCCATATCAGACTACAACAAACAAATACCAATGTTATTCTCAAATGAATCTAGTTGAAGATGTAAACCCTTTTGTGATTACTTTCCTTTAAACAATTTCAATGATATTGAAGATTTTTTCAGTTCAATAACAGTTCTCCTGAACAAATTGTTATTTACAAAAATCTCTCTTTATCATTCTCTGTTATTGAATATTTTGAAATAATCTACGTTCTAAACCGTTGAAACATTGAAACCGGTAGGTATTTATGTACACAAACCCATATTTCCGAAGGAAGCTCTTCAACAAGAAATCTTCGTGAACAAAATTTGTGTCCCATTTGAAATCTTTTTTTTCGAGTTGAGATTCACCCAAAATTAGAAAAAAGTCAGTTCCAGATTATATTGTAGGAGATTGAAAACCAAGAAATAACAAAAAAACATTTTGTGTAACTTTTTTTGTTGATGCTACGAATTCAGGTGTATTTGAATTACAACTTTCATTGGCTTTTTAGAAAACTTTCTTGAATCTTCGAATAAGAAACGGATAATCCATTTACCTTCAATATTTTTGATCCAAGATACAAATTGGAGCAATACAACACTATCTCGATCGATCCCATAACCACCAGCTGAATAACTGAAGTTCTTCCCAAAACAGCGCCCATAGAAATTAGTACACTTGCAGTGGCTATATCCGCTTTATAAATGCTGAAATATAGAAAATAGAAATGAGATATGATAACAAATTTGTATCAATTCAATTGAATTGTATTCTCGAAGGATAATTTCGAAAATGAAGGATGCATTCTATATAATCTACAAACTGTTGTGAGCAGATGCAACAAGTTGATTTTTATTTTGAAATTGTCATTTGTTTCTCGTGATTTTTATAATAACATCCATTTAGCCATGACGGATGGCGATCCCAACTACGAAATAACAACGTATCTCTTCTAATAACTAGATAAATGAATATGTCTATACTGAAAATTGTGTGAATCAGTTATATTGATAAAGTACACTGTTGCTACGAAATCATTACATCGAATTAATAAACACCTTTATTGAGTTTTTGATTAACTAAGTTGCTAGTACTGAACACGCTTAAAGAAACTATTTTAAAGCGAAACACGTTTCACAGTAAAATGACAACTGAAAATATAACAAGGTCTAATTCTAACACAATAATGGATTTTTGTCAAGTGTCCTTCAATTATACAGGGTGTTTCCTGATCACGGTACGAAATTTCAGAGGGTGATTCGTTTGATCTTTAGTTTCATCTTCCACTTGAAGGTGATCACTTGGTGATCGAAACACGTGTCGAAGTGTTGAAATAATAGTTTGGTGTTGGGAAAGGACTCCAGTAATATTCATTATTGGAGTTCTTTCTTTTTTTCCTGTGAATGGGTAACTGTTGGACGATAAAGCTATTATTATTTTTTTTCACCGTAGTGTGCGCTGGTCAGGCCCTATCCCCCGAAGCCCCGATACATTGGGGGCTTCGGGGGATAATGCGCGCCAGCATTCTCAACCAATGACCACTCCCCACATCGTGGGATGAGTGATCATTAGGACCGAGAATCATGTGCCCTGAGCAAGCGCAGTGCTTGTGTTTCCGCAGAAGTGAGGTGATCTCTGCGGCTTTTATATGAGCTTTATGCTGAACAGGTTCCAACTCGGTGACAGAGTTCTAGTCACCTAGTTCAGTGTCGAAAACTATACCGAGTTCATCAGCTGCTTGGGCAGCTGTCCTAATGAGAAATGCTCCAATTCCTGCTCTCTCATGGTCACGGACCATGCAGAGGGGGGATCCGAACTCCTGACGACTTTACAGGCTGTATCCAGTACCATTCAGTCATGTAGACACTCCAAACTCAAAAGTCCACGGCCTCCCTATTGTCGGGGGAAGTACAACCGTGAAACGGACGATTTGGGATGCAAACTCCTATAGAGATGCATCATTTTTCGGGTCTTTACGTCGAGTTGATACAGTTTCTCCCGAGTCCACTTCACTACTTCAAACGAGTTCCGATGGCCAGATCTGTCAAAGTTTGTGCTGATACTTGCCGCGAAGAGAGTTCTTCACTGTTGTTACCTCTTGTGAGTGGCATTGTTCCACACCGAGGTAAGTATACGTCTCTCCGGCATCCAGATGGGCTAAGAGCTGCACATCCTCTTCGTAGTCCCCGCTTCTCTTTCGAGATAGTCTATTGCACATTTGTCTATAACGAATGTCATACCGATAGCATGCGTGTACTCTTCCACCACCCTCAAGGACTGATAGAGATCCTTCTCTCCAGAGGCATAAAGTTTAAGATCATCCATATAAAACAGATGGGTGACCTTGTGCCTCCGGTTTCCGGGGATGCCACAGTTATGCCCTCGAGTATTTCTGAGCGCAACGGATAATGGCAATAGTGAGATGCAGAAGATAAGGGGACCGAGGGAATCGCCCTGAAATACACCCTTATTATTATTATTATTATTGCTACATCAAAGGTTCCAAACAGTGCATCACAAAAAGTACACCAGTGACTCGTTGTTATTTATTCTATACAACTTTTGGTCTCCATAAGTTCACAATTTTCTGATAGAAAAATATTAATCCGATTTTTCTTTTTTCGTTTCTCCAGTCGATGTGTAAACGTAAAATGCTGATTCTCATTCATCTGTCATTTCATTTGCGCTGAGTCAATCTTTCTATTGGCGAATTTTCTTCTGAATGGAAATTGAACAAATCCAAAGAGCCAGCTTCTTTGTTACTTTATTTTCTCGATTCGCGTTGAAAAAATAACAGCCCTCGCCTCATTGTTATACAGAAAATAAATCTTTCATTTCGCTTCTTTTCTCATGTTAATCCGTTACAAGGCGCGAATGAATCGGTGGATAAATATTTTAAAAGAACACTTTCCCTCAATCGAATGGGATGATTCAATTCGAATTGCTTTTGCACATTGACAGAGGGGATAAAAAAATAAATATGGAGATGCGAACCCTAGTTGATTCTCGGAGATTAGTTTATTTTTCCAGGGCTTCTTAGAAGATTTTTTGGTAGTTGTGCTATTTGTAATGGAATCGAATTAGATATCATACGCAGGATTCCTACACAATATAATTCATGAAGGAAAGTCGCCCAGAGAAGAATCCAGTTCAGCTTTTATATTGGTTGGGCTGATACCTTTCAAATAAAAGTATTGCACCAATAATGATGAACAATTTTCTCCATTTTCACAAATTAATCGAAAACGATCGCTGTTGATGATTGCTAAACAAATACTAAACAACGCACCGACTTCAAACTTGAAACGAATGCTTTAAAGACTGTGTACTTTTGATGCAGATATTTTTTTTTAATAACTACTCCCATCTCTAGGTCAGAATGGGTACTTTTGTGACCACCTGAACACACCTTTGTTCTGATTGAATGATACACAGTGTACAGTCTTGTTTTTGAGAAAACTTTTTACTCTCTAATATTACAGAAGTCGTTGAAGGATTTGGCAAAATATATTTTTAATAAAGAATATTACTGTAGTTTGTTTCCAACACCAAACTATTATTTTAACACCTTGATACCTGTTTCTATCACCAAGTGTTCATCTTCAAGAGGAAGATCAAACAGATAATCTTCGATATTTTTGATTGGATTCCAAATTTCTTTATGATTTGAACTCGCCTCATAGATTTAATCTTTATAGTATTATTTTTTTGATTATTGAGTTGAGCTCATTTTCATTATGTTTATATTCTGATTCTAACTGACGAGAATACTTTTTCATTATTTTGAAGTGTTTTCAATAATGACTTTATATATTTCTGTTGATATGTAAGAAAACTCAGCAATAAATTCATCTATATCTATGGTTTGATTATTTGTTTCATGTGATATGTTTCTCACTCCATTTTCAGTACGTAGTTGAAATGTTTATAAATGCTGAATAGTATATGAGCAAATATTATTTGTTTGTGAATTATCAATTTTTAATTTCATTATTAAAGCAATCCAGAGTTCCATATAGGTAAAAACATGAATGCTCATCAGACTAGTCAATTATGGATTGAAATTATGTACAAAGTCAATTTGAATGGCATAAAAACTAAATAGTTACCGAACGTCAGCAGTTTCTTTGTTTGGCACGGGCAGCGTGATTGAAAATTAATTTTATTTTTCATAAATCTAGACGGATTTTCCATCAATAGTAAAGAGTAATGCCAGCATTGTCAAGATCAGTTTGTCTTCATTATACCAATTTATTCGTTGATATCTATGTGATTTTTGATCAACTGTCATTCCTGAAAATGACTAATAAGTTCTGTTCTGATTCAAGACTTCCTGAACAATTCTTCACAGAGTGTCAAAACTCCAATTATGCTTTTTGACATTCTTTGTTGCATAATGAATGCATCAATTATATAACTTGATGATCCACAGAAAATGAGGACCATATGACCAAGCACTCTGAACATGGACAAAATATACTATTAAAAAAATCAAAAATAGATGTATTTCGTAATTACTTCAATGAAAAACCAACAGAGCTCAATTTGGCTACCAATTTATTGATATGTCCTTCCCAGGTTCAATCATGGTTTAATGTAACTCCTGAAAATTTTATTGACTCAGTTTGCTGAATTATTTGATTCATATCAATAGTTAAACTAGGATAGGTACTGATATTATGGGTTGAAATGTCACGAGAAATGTTTCATTGATGCGGTCCATTATTGTTATAATAATCTTAAACTGCTTGGGCGCCTATGTTTGTCTTTGGTTAGGTTTTTCAAGAAAAAGCTTTCGTTATCTGCGAATCAAATTTTTGAATCTGATTATTTTTCTAAGTGAGTCAGGTCATTCACGGATACTATGAATAATAGTAGCCCAAGTAGGGAACCCTGAGGTACCCCCTGCGTCAGGGATACTACTGTTCAGCACTATGCACTGACTACTCCCATCTGAATATGAGATCAGCAGTAATAGACGAAACGACAGGCATATAAACCTGCAGGGCACGGCCAAGAACCCCGAAAAATAGCGTTATTACAATTATGAGAACGGTAATGAATTGACTGAGTTTTTAATGGTTCAAAACTGCATACGTTTGTGAAAACTTCAATACCGATTGTAAAAATAATGGATCTACAAATCAGAGAAGTTATTGTCCCACATATATTTGCGATAACAGAATTATACATGAGAAATGGATCAACCACTCCAACCATTGTGAATCGTCCCATTTCCCACTTATTACTTTAACGGTCCAGTTTATCAGATATGTCCGCAACTCTGGAGATAAAACGGGCATATTTCCATGTAATATATCTGAATTGAGTTATATGCTGACTGGGAAAAAACTCGAGCTGAATGTTTGTTGTTCAGTTATGTTTCGGGCTGCACTTTTAGACTGGTGGAATTTTTGTGGTGATACTGATTTTTTGAATATTTGAAAACGTCTTGTGAATGGAATATTGGTTTGAAGAGTAGTTAGAAAAATGACACAACTTCCATTGATTTCTTGAAAATATGGAACTCGATAGACAAATAACATGTAAGATGTCCCCAGGAATTTTTATTGGTCTAGATATGGCGAAATATAAGCATACACTTTATCCAGGATGAGGAGGACTAGCTTGAAAAAATCTGAAACTGTTATATATACAAAGTTGGTTGAATTAGTGGGAGCTTATTTGAATGTCGTTTCAAACTTCAGACATGTTCTTGCCAAAACTATTTACCTCTCTAGGAACAACTAACGAAACTGGTGAGTAATGAATTTTCACCTGAGACATCATTTTACCTAGTTTTAAGATCTGTCCTAATTACCAATTTCCTCGTTGCAAATTAAACCTAATGGCGAAGAGAAAATCAATTCTTCCAGAATAATAAAAATACTCATGATGCTATTTTCTCATTTCCGTGTAAAGTTTATTCTGAGATAAATGTCGGTGAAAAGACTGCCGCAGTATTTTGTGACCTGTCAAAGGCATTTGACTGTGTTGACCACAAAATTCTGCTGAGAAAGCTCCAAAGTTATGGATGCAGAGAAGTAACTCACAAAAAAAAGGAAATTGATTCTGGAGTTCCACAAGGTTGCGTGTTAGGTCCCATTCTTTTGTTATTATGTATTACTTACCTCACCAAGCTTAATATTTCTGGGAAGTTCACCTTATTTGCAGATGACACTACTATACTTTGGAATAATATAAACACTTGAGAGTTGCACCAAATAATCTCTACCGACTTGGAAAAAATCAAGGATTGGTGTGAGTCAAACATTTTATCTTTCAACTTAACTAAAACAAATTTAATCATTTAGATACTCAATCAACGAACACAGTGATCAACAGATCACTGGAATCTTAAAATAACTTAATTTCTAGGAGTGTTCATTGACCAGAGTTTAAAATTATAATATTAAACAACTTACTGAAAAGTCTCCTCTGGCTGTTATGGGGTTAGAGTGATTTATAAAGAATTGGGGTTGAGCACTGCAAAGATAAAGATGGCGTACTATGCACTCATAGATTCTCACTTATCCTACGAAATACCGTTTTCAGTCTGGTTCACATGACTCCATTCAGCTCTTTTTGGTGACATTTTTCAGCCCTGTCCAAAAATTACGACCAAGGTGTCATTCGATTCGTATTTTTGCCTAGAAAGTTCAAGGGAAGGTCCGAAAACGCGCCGATAAAAATTACAAAAGTTATAAA